TTATGTGTTGGCAACTTATATAAGAAAGAATTAAAGATGAACAAGTTCATTGAGAACTCAAAACAATATTCTGTTGCAAATCTTGTCACATTGCCTTTTCCCACACTCAGAAAACTTCTGAGAAGCAGGTGATTTGGTAGAGAGGTTAAATCACCACCTGGGATTCCCACATCCTATATCAGAGTGCCTGGTTGGAGTCCCAGCTCTTCCACTATGATCCAGCTTCCTGCTAATGCACACCCTGGGAGGCAGCAGATGCTGGCTCAAGTAATTGGGGTCCCTGTTCCCGACAGTGGAAATCTGGGTGAAATTTACAACTCCATGCTGTTGCTGCATTTGGGGAGTGAACCAGTGAATTACAGCACTGTCTCTCCATCTTTCAAGTAATAGGAAAAAAAAAAAAAAAGGAAGATCACAGTCTCCAGAAACATAAGAAATAAATTTCTGTCCATTATAATTTATTCAGTGTGTGGTATTCTGTTACAGCAGCACAAATGGTCTAACAAAGAACCCTTGCCAGATGATGAAAACAACACTGCCTTCCGTAGTCTTGTCCCAAATTCTAATCACAACAAAAACATGAGGCAAATCACAATTGAGGGATACTCTTTTCTTTTTTAAGATTTTATTTATTTGAAGGAGAGGGAGGGAGAGAGAGAGAGAGAGAAACAGACTCTTCCATCCACTGGTTCACTTTCAAAAGGCTGTGACAGCCAGGGCTGGGCTAAGCTGAAGCCAGGAGCCTGGAACTCTATCCAGGTCTACCACATGGGTAGCAAGGACCCAACCACTTGGACCACCTTCTGCTGTTTTCGCAGGTGCATTAGTAGGGACCTGGATCCGAAGCAACGCCAATGCCTCAAGCAACAGCTTAACCTGCTGTTGCTGCACCACAATGCCGGCCCCATTCAGGAATAGTCTATAAAATATCTGATCAGCATGTCCCAACTGTCAAGGTCATAAAAAAAAGGGAAGTCGTAAACCAAGAGGAACCTAAGGAGACATGAAGACCGAATGCAGTATGTGGGATCCTGGATGGGATCTTGGAATGAAAAAGGACATTAGGTAAAACCCAAGGAAATCTGAAAGAAATGTGGACTTTGGATTAGCGGTGACGTATCATTCACTCACTGCTTCAAGTGTACCATAGTAATGTGATATCTTAATAATAGGGAAGCTGGGAGACAGTGCTAAGCCTTGGTCTGCGGTGCTGGCATCCCATATAGGCACTGGTTCAAGACCCGACTGCTCCTCTTCCAATCAAGCTCTCTGCTTATGGCCTGGGAAAGCAGTGGAAGATGTCCCAAGTGCTTGGGCCCCTGTACCCATGTGGGAGACCTGGAAGAAGCTCCTGGTTCCTCATGGGCCCAGCTCTGGCTGTTGGGCTATTTGGAGAGTGAACCAGAGGATGGAGGATCTTTCTGTCTGTAACTCTACCTCTCAAACAAATAAATAAAATCTTTTAAAAAAAATTAGGGAAACTGGTATGGGGGCACATGGGAACTCTCTGCATCATCTTACTGATTTTTCTATAACTATAAACTATTCTAAAATTTAAAAAGTGTATTTAAAAAGGTGGGGGATAAAAAGGGGCAAGGCTCTCCCTTCTTTCTGCTGTGGGATGCCATGATCTTCCAAGCTGAGTGACCATCTCTTGACTACAGGGACACTAATGCTCAGCCCTAATTAGCCTTGGGCCCACCTACTGGATTCTTGCTATGTGAGAAGACAAACCTCACTGCCTAAGCTGCTTCAGGTCAGGTGTCTTGTTCACCACCATTGAATATATCCCAACCAACAATCCTCATGTCATTGCCATGGTCAGGGTTCTGGTTTGCATCTTTATTGCCCTACCCAGATCTCTGGCTGGCTCCAACACCTTTCTTTCCTGATCTCCTGCTGGTCGTCTTCCTGTTCTGACTTCACACCCTACCTGCATCTTTCCAATACCCAACAGCCAGCAGCCACTTTTGCCATTCTTGGGTAGAGTGCATTCTCTCACACTTCCTGCTTTGTGCTCACATGGTCCCCTTTTCCTGGAGAATACCCAGCAATTAACCACCCCCATTCAATTCTCCACTCACAACGTGTGAAGACAGGATTTTAAAATGTCCCTAAAGTGCCCTCCTTACTGTGAATGTAATGGATTATACTCCTATGATTAAGATTTGGTATGGGATTTGATTTTACCCACTATGCCACAGCACTGGCCCCCATATATACTAACTTGAGGATGTCAAAGGGTGGGCGCTGTGGTGCAGTAGGTTAATCCTCTGCCTGCAGTGCTGGCATCCCATGTGGGCACTGTTGTTTTTTTTTTTTTTTTTTTTTTTTTTTAACAGGCAGAGTAGACAGGGAGAGAGAGAGAGAGACAGAGAGAAAGGTCTCCCTTTTGCCATTGGTTCACCCTCCAATGGCCGGCACAGCCGGCGCACTGCGGCAGGCACACCGGGCTGATCCGATGGCAGGAGCCAGGTACTTATCTCCCATGGGGTGCAGGGCCCAAGTACTTGGGCCATCCTCCACTGCACTCCCGGGCCACAGCAGAGAGCTGGACTGGAAGAGGAGCAACCAGGACAGAATCCGGTGCCCCAACTGGGACTAGAACCCGGTGTGCCGGTGCTGCAAGGCAGAGGATTAGCCTAGTGAGCCGCGGCGCTGGCCGGCACTGGTTCTAATACCGGCTGTTCCTCTTCTGATCCAGCTCTCTGCTATGGCCTGGGAAAGCAGAAGATGGCCCAAGTCCTTGGGCCCCTGCACCCGCATGAGAGACCGGGATGAAGCACCTGGCTCCTGGCTTCGGATCGGCGCAGTTCTGGCCATCATGGCCATTTGGGGAGTGAACCAATGGAAGGAAGACCTTTCTCTCTGTCTCTCCCTCTCACTATCTGTAACTCTACTTCTCAAATAAATAAAATAAATCTTAAAAAAAGAAAGATGCCAAACATTGAATCTCCAAGGAAGAGAAAAACCCACTCATTTAAAAAAAGGATGGAGAAAAAGAATAGCTACTAGAAATATATACCTGGGGTGTTTCTGAGTAGCCCAGAGTTGAATGAAGTTCCCAGGAGGCCAGTGAGGGAGGGGAACAGAGGTGTAAGCAGAGGTATAAGGAAAACTCTATCTCTTGATTACTACTAAACACATATATATTGAATGCCTGGTCAGAACAGGAATTTTGTCAAACACCGTAGAAGTTTAACATGCGAATGTTATCCTTGGAGATTCTGAGGCCCTTTTTCCTGTGGTTTACAAGTCACAATATTAAAATCCAAAGGAATCTTAAGACCTTGAGATTTTATGCACATATAGGGTTAGAAGGCCTCCACCATTTTAAAAAAGATTTATGTATTTGAAAGGCAGAGTGACAGACAGAGGGAGAGCTTCCATCTGCTGCTTCACTCCCCAAATGGCTGCAATGGTGGAGCTGAGCCAGGTGGAAGACAGGTCTCCCACGTGGGTGCAGGGTCCCTGGGACTTGGGCCATCTTCTCCAGCTTTCCCAGGCACATTAGCAGGGAGCTGGATCGGGAGTGGGGCAGCCAGGACAAGAACCAGAGTTCATGCGGGATGCTGCAGGCAGTAGCTTAACTCCTGCACCACAATGCCTGCCCCTAGGCTAATTTTTAAGTTGATAACTTTGAATGATGACGTTATCAATCTCCGTAACAGCCCTGGGCAGACAAAAGGTTCTGTAACAAATGGGAGGAAACTGCTATTCCAGGCAGCTCTGCATTTCTGAAGCACACACTCTTGTTCCAGCGCGCCCCACACCTCTGCTAAGGCGTTTGTCATAAAGAGCATCACCCGGACATTTGCTTCTCATCCCGAGTTGCCCAGGCTCCTGGCCTGGCGGGCACGGCTCCCACGTGCGTGGATGGGGGGAACGGTGCGGGAAAGCCTAAGCCGACCTTTAAGGAAAGAAGACAGGGGTTCCGAAGATGCCTTCTAGGCCAGAAAGAACAGGCCGGATTAACTTGCATGTGATTCTGCTGGGTACGGGGAGCGAAGGAGGAGTGGGGAGTGCGGGGGTCCCCGCCCCCTCCCGGGCTGAGTGAGGGTCCCACGTCTGACACCCGAGATAAAACACAAAATACCCAGAAAACTTGGATCTCTCCCACCTTTAGGGGCTGGCTTGAGTGGCCGACCTATAGTAATTTCTCAAATTTTCTGACACTCGACTCACAGGGCATGGGGCCTTTCGCCTCGCAAACGACCCGCCACGAAAGAGAACTGGCTCGGCCTCTGCCGGCTCAGCAACCCACGTGGGAGGCCCTTCTCGGGATCTCCTTTGACGTCGGGGCCGCGCCCACACGCGCAGCGGGGAGAGCACCCAGCCAGGTGCGCGCGCTCCGCACCCCGGCACAGCCAGGCCTGGGAATCCCCGCGCAGCTCCTCAGGCACGCACCCGGCCGGCGCGTGGGCGTCGCCGGCCACTGCGCAGGCGCCGACGCGCTTTCCTCGGCCGGGCGCGCGCTCGCCGCGGGTTACGCTCTGGGAGGGCGGAGGGCTGCGCGTGCACGAGCGGGCGACCGTGACGTGCGCCGCGTTACGCTCGACGTCACGGGTCCGTGTGTAGTGGCGGCCGAACTGCCCTCAGCGGCGGCGCCTGACGCGGGTGGTGTGGCTGCTGGGCGCGGCGTTCTGGGGGTCGCGCGGGCGGCGGCGAGGGCTACGACCGGGACGCCCGACACCCGAGGCCGCACAGCCGCCGCTCCCGCCCCTTCTCCAGCCTCTGGCCGTGCCGGCCCTCGGCTTCCTCCTTTCCTGGCCAGCCCTCCGCGGGCCTTGGGGCTGCAGCGGCGAGAAGCACCGAGGGGGCGAGAGGCCCCGGACGGCCGCGACGCTCCACGCGCCCGCCTCCCCGGCCGGCCCGGGCTCCATGTGAAGGAGGGACGGGCCCGGCCCGCCGGCCCGCGCCCGACTGCTCGCGCGCCCCTCCGGCCCCCGGGGGCGCCGCGGCCTCCCCGGACCGGGGGCCGCGGTGACAGGCCGCGCGGGGGCGGAGGGGCGGGCTCGGCGGCGGCGGCGGCGGCCCTTCCGCGGGCCTGCGGCTCCGGCGTCCCCGCAGAGCGCCCGGTACGTGCCTGTGTGAGTGTGCGTGTGTGGCAGGGCCGCGGCGGCCTGTGTGCCGCTCCCGCGGGGGCGGGGATTTCGCTCCGGGAGGGCAGACCCGGGTCTCCCCTTCGGCCGCACGGCTGTCAGATGCGTGCCGTGCGGGGGTTTTGGAGGGACGGTTGCGGCCGGTGTCTGGGACGAAGCGGGGATGTTACGTGGAGTGCGTCCCGAAGTGCTGGTCGTCTTTGCACGTTCGGAGCGTGCTCCTCTCTTGTTTCCCCTTTCTTTACGGAACGTTTAGCTAGTGTTTACGGAGCTCCTCACTCTGCCCCCCGGCGGGTGGGCTTTCTCTCATTCCGTCTTCCCCGCCCGGTGAGGTGGGCGCGTTGTCTCCCCATTGTACAGATGCAAAATAGAGGCTTTCCGAAACCTAGAGGAAAGCGTTTGCCCAAGGTCATTCAGCCGGTGGCTGTCGAGGAAGTCTTGATTAGATTATGCATACGTCTTTCCGTCTTACAAAAAGAAATACATGAGGAAAATGAGCCAGGCTGGACAGTTTATTCCTGGGGGTAAATTTTCAACGCGTAGGGAGATACGGTTTGCTTTTCCTTGGCGGAGGCTGTTATATATATATTTGGCAGTCTAGCCAAATCATTTTCTTAGTTTTTTATTATTACTTTAAAAATGGCTTAAGGTACCTTTACCTTTTGTGTAGCAGGACTAGACGATTTCCCTTAAAAAAAAAAAAGAAGGAAAGTATTTGGTAAAATTGTACATGTCATGAAAAGTTACAGTTTTACTCGTGCAGTTCGTTCTTGATGCATACAAGGAACTTGCAGTTGGGTTATTTGCTTGAGGTTTCCTTATTGCAAAATTTGTTGCTGGATTATGTGGCAATGTCAACACACAAAGTAATTTGTGCGTTTTGTCTTATGTAATATTTCTTAGTTCAGTGTCAAAATTTAATTTTTTAGAATATTATTTTTTGATGATGAGATTTTTTTTCCCGTTGGTGTGGAGTGCTACAAACCAGTGTTGGGAAGCTCAATGAAAATGACCATTTCAGCATCAGTCAGTAATATTGATGTAACTATGATTAGTGGAAAAACTAGAGCCAGAGCTTTTTTGCAGAAGAAAATGGTGATACATTCCCTTGAGTGATGGAAGCTTCTGACTTAGTTGGAAATGTTTGAGAAATCTGTTGATGTCCAGTGTGGGTACTCAGTGATCTCCCCAGGATGTTATCAAGTTGAAGAAAATTTGTTGTTGATGTCTTTGTAATGTCTGTAGAGAGAAGATCAAGTTTGTAGAGTTAACTAGTGGATGGTTCCTGGATTGATTTGTTTGGTTAAAATATAAACGCATGTTGAATATTGTTGAGTATGATATTCTTCTAGAATGGTTATATGGCTGAGCTCTCCATGTATCTGATTAGAGATTAAGATTTATATTAAATAATTGGGTTACATTATATACTTAATCTTTTAAGCAGTGTTTTAGCTAGAGCTTTCACTCCTACTTTACTTTATTGCTACCATAGAGATAAATGAAAATGAAATTGTGTCCTGTGTTGTATATTTCCTATAACTCTCACTTCAGGATGATTTATTTCCTTTTGCAATTGATGCTTTGTAGGCTACCTATGCCCTCAGCTTTTTATGATTTTAAGTATACAGAAAAATCAGTAATAATTAACACTAATGATGAATCCCCAGATCAACATTTGTTGATATCATGGTCTATTTGCCTTTTCTTTAAGTATGTGTGTTATTTTTGACTGATCCATTTGAAACTAAGCTGTAGCACATTGTGATACTTTACCCCCACATCATGATACTTCACCCCTTAACACGTTTTATATGGCCAGAATACCATTATTGTTAATTTTCTTAAATGTGATATTTAAATCTCTCCATTTATACTGAAAGGCCTTTTATGACTTTGTATTCTCTCTCCTGTCAAACCAGGATCCCATCAAAATGTATTCATTGCATTTGATAAGCCTTTTCAGTCTCTTCAAGAATGGCTTCACCTCCTCCTCCCTTTAAAATTACATGGATTAAAAAAAAAAAAGATCAAGGAGATAGTTGTCATATAAAATGATTCACATTCCAGATTTGTCAGATTTTTTTTCCCCTTCAAGATGTCATTTAGCTTGTTCCTCTATTCCCCTATACAAGCTGTTAATTGTAAATTGGGTTTTAGTGGTTCATTAGTTTCAAATTAACCATGTTGGACAAGAATATCTAATAAGTGATGCCTAATAAGTGATGTCATGGACTTCATGTTGCCTCCCTCTGGGAGATGTGTACTGCTCAATTCCATTATTTGTGACGCCAAGTTTGATCACTTAGTCGAGGGGGTTAGGGTAAAATCTATTTTTCCCACTGCAGTCAGCAAGTAGTCTGTGGCCTGGTTAGTTAGCACTGTGATGCTAGCCTCTTCTCCAGTAATCTTTCACCTATTGGTAGTAGCATCTATTGTTGATCCTTGTCAGGCTGACTTTTGAATTTCTTTGTTAACCATCTTTTGTTGGTCTATAGATGGAAACAGAATCACAGGAATTGTAAAATATCTTGTTCAGATATATAAAATCTGATTCTGATTTTGTGGAGTTTACAGTTTTTTAGTGATGAATTCAGGGTGTCTCTTACGAATTTTACAAGAAACATGGCTTGAAAATGGAAAACATTCAGTGTGTGTCTTTTCCTGTACTCTTGAGTATGTTAAAATTTTTCTTAGCATTGTTGCACAAGAATAATCAGAAATTGCAAAGGAGGGGTGAATCTGATAAAAAAAATTTTGAAGTTCTAGAATTATAAATTTTTAGACTTTGTGTTCTCATTTCTTAATGATTATGATAGTAAGCATTTATTAATACTTGTGTTAATGATTTATGTTGGTTACATTTTTATCTATTTTTATTACATCAGATAGGAATAAACTAAATATATGTAATATAAAATACAATTTGTTAGCGAATTAACTGAGATCTAGTAGGTGATTGTTTTAAAGAAGGTTTCATAATAGGATTTCTATAAGTGATACGTTCCCTCATTGAAAGTATGAGTTAATTTGTAAAACTGTACGTGAAGTTTTCCCACATACCTCTTTTGCAAATCAGGATGAAGCATATATATAGACAGAGTAACTCTTTCCCTCATTCTCAGTGTTTTATGAAATATATCTGTATATCTGTATATACACACACGTACTTAAAAGAAACACATAATTTTGTCTGTTGTCTTAGATATCCCTGGGATTTACTTGGAACATTGATTGACTGTTTCTCATGAGGGTTGATCATGAATTTGCTTAGTAATCTCTTTTTTTTTTTTTTTTAAGATGTATTTATTTGAAAGTCAGAGTTACAGAGATGGAGAGACGGAGAGAGAGAAAGAGGTCTTCCATCCGTTGGTTCACTCCCTCCCTACATGGCTGCAGTGGCCAAGACTGGGCCAGGCCAAAGCTAGGAGCCAGGAGCTTCTTCTGGGTTTCCCACATGGGTGCAGGGACACAAGCATTTGAGCTGTCTTCCACTGCTTTCTTTCTCAGGCACTTTAGCAGGGAGCTGGATTGGAAGTAGAGCAGCCAGGTTTTGAACCAATGCTCTTATGGGATACCAGTGGGGACTCCCTGTAATATCTTTTGTATTGTTGCCTTTATTGTAACTTAAGTGTTAGGTTGTTACTGAATTTTCCTTGTACTTCTTACTGTAACTAGCACATTGCCTTTGTTATAAATGCTAAGTAATTATTTGAGATTCATGTTAAAAACTATGAGATTTATAAATTTTGGATTTTTTTTCTCTCATTTGTAAAGTTAGTTATATAATATGGACTTTAGTGATTAATAATGACAAATTAAGAGTAGTTTAAGGTATGATTTTATCAGTTTATTTTTAATTTTTTAATTTGAGAGGCAGAGGGAATGCTAGTACGAGTACAAGCTCTTCATCTTCTGGTTCACTCCCCAGATACTCACAGTCCCTGACTGGGAGGCCAGCCGAGGAGCTGGAAGCTCTCTCCAGGTATGCCACATTGGTGGCAGGGACAAACTGTACTTGAGCTGTCATCCCAGTTTCCACATTAGTGGGAAGTTAGAATCAGGGGCTGGAGCTGGGAATCGAACCCAGGCACTCTAAGGTCTAATGTGGGTATACAAAGCCTTAGGCTAAATGCCTGCCCAGTATTCTGAAGATTCCCAAATTGGGCCCACTCATCATCACTGACTCAGAATGCTCCTAGAGCACTCTCCACACCTGCCTCTACCATTGTACTTAACACATGGCACAGTAATCACCTTTGTGTCCTTCAGGAAATTAGGTCTTCAAGGACAAGAGGCGGTGTTTTGCTGAATTTGGTATCCTAATATCTAGCTCAATACAGACAGTAGGGACCTCTTTTGATTTTGTAGGCTTAAAGACAGTGTCTACCATAACCACTGTTGATGTGCTGGTTGAGTTTCCTTTGTTTCTTTTTTCTCCCTTATTACATTATTTTATTAGCAAACTTAATTTTCTACATTCTAGATACTGATTAAGTACTACTTTAAAGATTTTTTTTCAAAAAAAAAAAAAAGGGATTTATTTATTTGAAAAGCAGAGTGATAGAAAGGGAGAGACTGAGAAAAGTGGGGGCTGGGTCTCCCATCTGCTAGTTTACTCCCTAAATGGCCACAACAGCCAGGGCTGGGCCAGGCTGAAGCCGGGAACCTGGAACTCCATCTGGGTCTCCTACATGAGTGGCAGGGGCCCAAGTACTTCAGCCGTCATCTGCTACTTTCCAGGTGCATTAGCAGGGAGCTGGATTGGAAGCGGAGCAATCGGGACTCTAACCAGCATTCTTACATGGGATGCCATCATCGTAAGTGGTGACTTAACCCACTGGCACCTACTTTATAGGTTTTCATCCATTTAAACCCTACCACAACACAGTGAATTAGTTGCTGTTAGTATGTCCGTCCATACGGCACGTGAGGAAACCGAAGCACTGGGATAATTTGCCTATGTTTACACATCT